AGCGGGAGAAAGTCCTGCTGGTGGGCGGCTGCGGGGCTGCGCGCGTCCGGCATCCCGGGACCGCTCCGGCCCGCGGCGAGGGGGCCCGGCAGTCCATGCATCCGCCGCCGCCCGCCGCCGCCGCGATGGAGTTCAGTCACAACAGCCTGTTCGGTTACATGGAGGATCTGCAGGAGCTCACCATCATCGAGAGGCCGGTCCGCCGGTGCCTCAAGGTGCGCCCCGGGGGGAAAAACTGCCCTCAGGACGCCCGGCCGACTGTCCCCGAGCAGCCCGACGCCGACCCCCGCCCCACCCCGTCACGGTCCCCTCCCCGAGGCGGCCCGGGACCCTCTTCGAGTCGGACCGGCCCCTCAGTCCCCCTCTAGACCTCGGTCGCCGTGTCACTCTAAGCTGGCTCCTCCCAGGGCCCCTTCCTCGACGCGCCTCGGGTTCTCCCAGTCGGGATACCCATCCCCGAGGGACGGGCCTCTGGCTCTACCGCCGGGGAGGCGTCCTTGTCCCCCCGGCCCAGCCCCGGGAATGGCCGAGCCGCTGTCATCGGGCCGGCCCCAGCGTCCTTCCCTTCGGGCAGCCGTGGCCCCTCAGTTGCGGCCCCCCTTCCTCCCGCCTCCTGCAGGAGCTGCCCCTCGCAGCCGCAGCCCGCTTCTCCCTGTCCTTTCCTGAGTAGCACCCCCCTCCCGTCCCGGCCCCCTGGTGTCACCCCGGTTCTGGCCCCAGGCCCAGCCTCCGTCCACACGGCCCCGACTCCCCCCACCTCTCCGGAGACACTCCAGGTTCTATCCTTTCAACCCCCGTCTCCACCTCCTACCCTCCCCGCCTCCCGTCCCCAAATCGGATCAAGCTAGGGTCCCTGTGCTCCCCAGGGCATCCCGACCTCCTTTCCCCTCCCAGCCAGCACCCATTCTCATCGTCGTCCCGGTCCCTGTCTTTCAAGCCCTCTTGACCCTTTGCCCCCATCTCGAGTCATCACACGTCCTTTCCTCCCAGCCCCTCCAGGACTCTCGCTGGACCCTGCTCCCCAACCCCCTTGAGGGAGTCAACCTTCAGCTTGCTCCCCCCACCCCCACTTGCTCCCCACCCCGCAGAGTCATCTTCCTCCGATCCTCCCGGGTCTCCAACCCTCACTGCTGGCAAACCTAGTTCAAGGGGACCCCCCTGCCCTTTCTCCCCTGGCCATTCTCCTAATAGCTTCTTTAGTTCTTCTCACTCCCACCGCAGTATCTCAAAGCTTTGATTTCCTTCCAGCCCCAGTTGATTCCCTTCCCTCCCCCCACTCCAGACCTCGTCCTTTTCATTCCTACTTGGTTGCAGTCTCGTCCACCCCGCTTTTAGCATATCCTGGGGTGGAAAATGCTGGAGAAACAGACTTGGGGTATTTGAGATGAAAAAGTGTGTTTATGTGTGTGTGTATATATATATGCATATATATAAATAATTTATGCGTATGAAATTGATTTCAGCAAGGCTTTGAAGCCACGATATGATTCTCAACTCAAGCTGCAGTCTAGAAGCTACAAGAGTAAAACCAAAAAAAAAAAAAAAAAAAAAAAAATCTCCCAAAACTCGACCACCCAATTAGAGACTTCTGTGGTTGATGTCAACTAGAATCCTTAGAACCTTGAAAGTTTTCATTGTTAATTGTTTAATTGTGACACTTTTTTATTAGTCTATACTCATAAAGGGTCACTGGAGGGGTGGGGTGGGAAAGACTGACCCTATGTTTGTGTGCATAATTTGTATTTTACACTTGACAGACACCAGAGGAAATAGAAAGATTGACAGTTGATGAAGACCTCAGTGATATTGAAAGGGCTGTTTATCTGCTCAGGTATTTCCGAGTCTTTCTGTGAAATTCTTCCTCTTTCCCTGTGGCAGCATGGGTGAATGCTTTCTGAAATGTCATATTAGGGTTATGTTCAGATTCACTTAACCATATAAACATAGCGTTCATAACACTTAATTATGTTGTGAATTAGATTTAGGTATGGATTTATGGATTTGAGAACTGAAATCAAATAAGATACCTAACTAATAGAAAATTGCTTGGAGGAAGAGGAGCAGAACTAACGGTTTGAGTTGAACCTCATCCTTTTTTTCTTTTCTGGCTTTGGTTTTTCTCACATAAGATTCAGTAAGTTTAGATGAGACTTAAGAGTATCCAGTGATTAATTTTTTCATCATAGAGTATGAACATTGTGTGCCACTTACTATAAAGAAAAAAATCCACAAATACGGTAGTTCAATTTGCTGCTCAGGATATCCTGTTTATATTACTTTTGCTATGTGAGCTTTATAATTTTGCCTGAGAGGTTTTAAATTTAATTGAATCTACTCTCATTTAAGTTTCAAACCACCTCACAAGTGCTACACAATTGCTTAAGGCACATGGTTATGCAGATATTTTCAAGATTTCTCTGAGCTATTTTAAAAATTGTGTTGTAGATTTAGCTTCTTAAAAACTAATACAGTGAACAGTAATGAACATATTGATGAAAATACTTCAGAAATAGAATTTCCTGGGGTATTTTGTATATATTTACCCTAAAATTTTTCTTTAACTTGTACAACATTTTTTTCTTCTTTTGGCAAAATTAGTCCTCACTTTTTGTTTTTCAGAATCAGATTTTCAAAACTGATGTTATTTACCTCCTAGGATGTTTGCCATCCTGTTTCCTTAGCTCAGTGCCAGTTTCAGGTACTGGCAGCCTTCTTGTTCTCCTTTCTTGTTTATAGATCATGTTTCCAGTCCCATGTTACTCACTGAATGATCCTATAATGAAAATTCCCTCTCCAGGACTTCCATTTTCTTAATTATTCTTTAGCCTTACTAGATCTTGAATTTCTTTTCTTACTTTAGTCAGACTATCAGCATGCTTACCATTAACCATTTCTTTCAATAACTCCATCATTTAAAAATGTTTCTGGATCTTAGATTTTATGTTAATGTTATTTTTCCTCCGTTTTGGTCATTTGTGGTGGCATGCTCTCATCATTTCTACCTATTTATCTAAAAGAAAACTTTTATTTATGTGTCAGTTAACAGTGTGTGTTTTTGGTGTTTGCTTAGAGGCTAATCCAACTTTTAACCCATTTTGATATTTTATTGTATTTCAAGTACTTTATTTCTTAATAATTAACCTGTTTAATATGATAAACAATAGTTGTCAATATTTGCCTCTTCCCACAATTCTTTTACTCGAAGTAGATAATTGATGAAAGATTGGATATTTTTTTTTTTTGACATACAGTCACTAATGATTTGAAAAAAGCTCATATTTTGAAATATGATTTTGGCATACTTATTTCTACTGAATTCTTTTCTTTAGTAATTCTTTTCCTAATTGTAAACACTATTTTACAATTAGGAAATGGAGAGTCTTGCTCTACTTACTTGTGATAGCAGACACCTTATTCTAGATATCAGTGATAAGGCTTCTTTTTAAAGGAAAGCTTATTTGTTTTATACTTTGCTTTTGTTTGTTAGCAAACCAGGTCGTATAAGTTGTCTCTATTTCTGACACAGAGTATAAGTTTTGCCCAGTTCTGGAAGTTACAAAGCCCTTGTAGAGACACATGGGCCCTCTCATTCTTAGACAAGTGGGTTTTAAAAGAGATCTGATATCTCCTTCAGTTTCTTGTGGTTCACATACCTTGAAGGAGATTTGCAAGGTGACTCAAAAGGGGAACACTAATTTGGTTGTGTATGGTTTTTCCAGCTGAATTCTTCTTTTGTATTCTTACCATTTCACCACCTCCTGGGGGAAAGTGGGATTTCACCTTTAGGCCAACTTCTGGAGGGATAATGGCAGGACTGTCTGAAAGGTTCTTTCTTCCCTGGAGTTCAGGGGAGGGAGTGGGATTGTCTCATAGACATGTTCAAAACTTTGCCTCTGTTAAAAGCTTCCCCATCTGCTTGTGTGTATTGAGCTTTCTGTTTTAAATGTAATTTATTCCCTTTTTTAAAAATTTGTACTTTTCAGTGCTATAGTACCTAATACAGATTTCTGTTTTCTTCCTCTGTTGATGATTTTCAGGCTTATTTTGTTGATGACTTTCAGGCTTATTTTAGAGTGCTTTACCTATTCCTCAGTATTGGATATTTAATATTCATTTATATATATATATATATATATAAATATATATATTTGCTCTCTGCTTTTGTGTGTCAGATTTGTTTCTTTAGTTCTATTTTGTATTTTAAAAGCATTTTGAAATATAGTTAAGTTTAGAGTCAAATATGTAAGCAACAGTAGGAAATGCTTTATATTAGTAGAGGTTCTGATAGCATTTAAATTGAATCCAGTATCTAACAAAAAGCATTATATGAAAGGTCTTCAAACAGTTCATGGAAGGGTTCATATTCTGTCTTTCCACGAGCTTTTGGTAGTATTCTTGTATACAGAGTACCATTATCCAACGAAAAACAAATTACACTGCTCATTTTTTTATCCTAAAATATGACAGGTCAATTATTAATGCTATTTTTACAATTAAGTTTAGAACATTATGGTATTTGAAGATTTGACACAGATGAATTTGTGGTTTTGCATAAATATGATGCTGATATACCCATCTGTGGCATTTAGCACTGAAGCAAAACAACTTTCCTAATAGTCACAGCTTGTCTGTTAGTCAAAATCATATCACAGCATCTTTTTCTTGATCTCTCCTTCGTGATTTTGGCATTATTTTAGGAATATACTTAAACTGCAAATAAGTGTATTAGAGAAGAGTTGTAAGTATGTTTGAAGTGCTTTCATTAAGTAAATCTTTACTCATATATCTCTAATTGCCTACCAGATAAATTCCAGACCCTTAGTGGCATTCAGAATTCTCCATAAGAAACTCCTTAGTTGTGCAAGGTGATGTCCCATTAGTCTGTCACTTTTTCTTTACAGCTTTATTGAGATATAATTTATATTCCATATAGTCCACCCATTTAAAGTGTACAGTTCAGTGGGTTTCAGTGTATTTGCAGAATTGTGCAACCATTACCACAGTCAATTTTAGAACATTTTCATCTCCCCCCAAAGTAAACTCTGTACTACTAGCAATTACTCCTCACTTCCTAATCCTCCCAGCCTTTAGGAACCACTGATCTGTTTTCTATCTCAATGGATTTGTCTATTCTGTACATTCCTATAAATGGGATAATACAATATGTGGCCTTTTCTCATTGACTTCTTTCACTTAGCGTAATGATTTCAAGGTGCATTCATGTTGTAGCATGTATCACTACTTTATTCCTTTTTATCGCCGAATAAGTATCCCTTTTTCTGGATATAGCACGTTTTGTTTATTTGTTCAGTTGATGGACACTTGGGTTGTTGCCACTCAATCCTTATTCTTTGAAGCTATCTTGCTGGCCTCTTCACTGTTACTCAGATACATTGTATTCATCCTTAACTTTGCTTTTCCCCATTCTAGAATACCCTTTGTTGTACCTATCCAGCATTTACCATCCCCAGGATCCAGCTGTAATTTTGCATTCTCCATAAGTCCCTAACTGCTGAAGCCACATGGATCCCAGGCTTCTCTGATCGCCCATATTACTTAATGGCTGCATCCCTCAACTGGCAGATAACCACTGCTTTACCTTTCTTGTATGTGTGTGTACATTTTCTTTTCTTTTCTTTTTTTTTTTTTTGTGACCGGTAAGGGGATCGCAACCCTTGGCTTGGTGTTGCCCGCACTGCGCTCAGCCAGTGAGCACACCGGCCATCCCTATATAGGATCCGAACCCGCTGCGGGAGCGTCGCTGCGCTCCCAGCGCCTCACTCTCCAGAGTGAGCCACAGGGTCGGCTCTACATTTTCTTTAATAGATTGTAAGGTCTTGGAGGACAAGCCATATTTTATGTTGTTGTTGTTTTGGTTCTTTCTTGTGGTATAAATATATACCTCATAAAGGAATGAAGCATATTTAAGATGGACAAAATGCCAGTTGAATTAAGCAACTTCTGATTTTTTTTTTTTTTTTTGGTATAGTGGGCAATAGAATCAGGCAGATTTAGGTTATATCCTTCTGTACAATTTATTATCTGTGTGGCCATAGAAAAGTCTTATGGTTTTTAAGCTCTGGTTTTCTCATCTGTAAAATGGAAATAATAATTCTGTTTCCCAGAGTGTTTGTATTTGTGTGGAGGACTTGGCACCCTCTGCTCCTGTACCCAATTAATGTTAATTTCCTTTGTCTCCTTTCCCCTTTCCCTATTTCATTGCTATTTAGATGCTAAAGTTACATTTCAAACTTTTAAAGGGATAATGCTATTAATTTTGCCTTCAATAATTTAATAAGGTAATAGGCAAGTAAAGTATATCAACAGAAGTTTGTGATAGATATCCATTAACTTCCTTTGCTAATAGTATTTATCAGAAACCAGAATCTTCACAAATTATAATTAAGCATTTTTAACTGAGTGATAATAGTCAGCCTTTTGATTTATATTCTCTTACTAAATGACCTTACCTTAAGCAATATTAACTATTTATATTATGTATTAAATGTGTTGATTGGTTAACGTACCTTACTTTTATATTGCTTATTGTGCTGTGAATTTTAAAACATTTTGTACTTTGCCTTCTAGTGACAGTCAGATAAAGTACATCATTAGGAACGTTTTCCCCTTTTTTTCCCCATTTTTTTTTAAGAGTAAGTGTGCCCCCTAGTGATATGACAGAGTGAGATTTCTGCAGCCAAATCTGTGGAAATAAACAAAAATGCTGTACATTATGGCTATAACTACTCACATCTGGGAATTCTGGCATACCTCTTCTCACTTCCAGGACTAGAATGGGGTAGCAATGAATCAGTGAGGAATAACTCCAGT